ACCCGAAATCTTTTTGGTCGTTCGGTAAATTACCTAACTCTCCGGAAATTACATCACTGCCTCCGGACTGAAAGTCCAAAGACAGCGATTTAGTTTCCGGAGAGTTGGGTAATTTACCGAACGACCAAAAAGATTTCGGATAATGATCAGGTGTCCCAGAATCAGAATAGGCAATTAATTTAGTTGGACCAACTTTTAGGTTGCGAGTAGTTGAAGATAAATATAAATAATTTAAAATATTTCAATTTAATCGTAATCAGTCTCATGTTAAATTATTACATTCGAGATTATTACATTCGAGATTATTATATTCGGGATTATTACCGGGATATTTTTTTTCGAGATTATTATATTCGGGATTATGATATTTTTTTCGAGATTTGGTTTTCGAATGAATGTATTGTCGAAATATTGCTTTGAGATACGGGATATAGTACCATCAGGATTTAAATCTTCAGGATTTTTAACGACTCCTCTTATTATCATTATTATCATCGCCCTAAAGATCTTTTACGTTTAAAATTTTAATTCTTTAAAATTCGTATGAAAATAAATTTAGTGAATGGTATTATAAGTAATAATTTTTTCACGAAAGTTGTACTAATTTGCAAAGAGGCTGGAAGAGTCGCAGTTATTTTATTTAAAATCAAAGAAAAAAACCATTATAGTAAATAATATAGCCACGATTTATGAAATCTTATGGAAGAGTAATTTATAGGTTTATTTTGAAGTATTAATTTTGCGTATAATATTTTAAATAAATTACTTGCCATATTCTATAATAAATTTATGTAAAAATAAATTATTAAAAAATAAAAAAAATTTAAATTCAATTAATTAATTAGAAAATATTACAAAACTTATAAGAATACATTGCTTTAATCTTTTTCTGAAATATATATATATTTATATACACATTTGGTATATTTATTTTTTGGATGCGTATATTATAGATTTTACTTTCATAAGAAAAAAGAATCGAAAAATCGAAAATTATTTTTTAAAAATTATAAAGACGTATAAAGATCTATATAAAAAAGTTGTTCTCTATAATTCGTTTCCATGAGGCAATATTAGGGAGGTTTCAATTTTTAATAGTAGATATATTTTTTCAAATTTGAATGAAGATTTCTCAATATCAGCATGGCAATTTCGATGTTTAGGATTATCTTAGAATTTCAAACCTTTTTATAATTCAATATATATACCTAATTATGGTTTTATAGAAGCTGTTTTTGCGAATAATTATTTCTTTGTGGTTATTTTTCAAAAAAAAAGTCCGAAATTCCCAATGTTATTTGGTCAAATCTACAGACAATTCTTATGTATTATTAGATACAATATTGAAAAAATGAAAAAAGGAAATTTTGGAAATGTTAGAAATTTTTATTTGTCAAGCTAAAATTTGGAAATTTTGCAAATTCTCAGAGTGATACTAGTTTGAAAAGCGCTGGACTATGATTTACATAGTCCGGAAGGTCATTTTGTTAGCAAAGGTTTTCATGTGAACATCATCGGCACTTTTTTTATGGACCATGCTAGAGTTATTCTTGTTCTTCATTCTAAATATGTGCACTTCTAAATATTATTTTATTTACTATAAAAATTGTTAACAGGTATTTCAGTATGTTAATATCTATGGCATGATATACTTCTTATTTCTTTTTTTTACCATTGTAGATTAGGAAATTAATTTATTTCCTATTTTATTTGATTTTGATGAAACTTATTACAAATTAATTTATTAATCCTTAGCAAAATCAAAAAAAAAACTATCATTAAGGATATTTCATTAAAAAAAAAATTAATGATTTATTAATTACACAGAATATATGTTTAAAAAGACAGTAATTTAACTACGTGTAAAGGGAGAAATGTGGACATACGTATGCATATACATTATGTACGCATTTTTATAATACTGTGCTACTGACAAGGCCAATGATAAAGTTTCGTTATGCACATATGTACGTATAGCTAGGTTTTTTTTGCAATTTACATACGTATGTACAGTACATTAAAAAACATTGGGACAATGTTACAAAGGATGCATTTAACAAATTAAATATTTTATAGAGGACCATATTCATTTTACGATCGATACATTTCTCCTTTTGTCTTAAATGAACTGTGGATAGTTTTTTTTCCTTCATTTTAAAGATTTTCTGTTACAGGTTGTAGAATCTTGATCATTTTTGAGCAAACATTGTTAATCCTAAAAGAAACTAATTTGTATTTTTTTTTTATATATAAAACCAGTGGTACAAAAAGAGAATCCGTATTGCTCCAAAATTTAATCTTGCAATATGTAGGTTAAGATTTTCTTTTAATATTTATAACTTCACGCGTCAACTGAAGACAAAGATTATCTACTCTCTTTCCTGAAAATCTCTAGTCCTTTGTTCTGACATTTGATATAATTTGCGCTTGATAACTCGTGATGGTATGGAATTATTGATTTTTTAAATAGTAATAGTAAACTCTATTTATGAAATTCTAATCGAGAATTATCCATTTCTTCGCATTACTTGTTTTACATAATTTGAAAGAGTTCTTCTCAGGCAGATCCTGAGGACTACTATGTTAAACAAGATAGGATAGGTAAACAAGTCACAATTTTGATCATTCCTTGAAATCATTTGTGCATTTCCAATGCCAACATTTTTCCTGTTGTTTTAAAAACAATGGTGCATAACGATAATAGGAAAAGGATCTTTTGGTGAAGTATTCAAAGGGTAAGACATTAATTGCGCTTCGTGATAATTTCAAATCACCATAATCTGGGATTCTTCAAATTGTTTTCTTTACTAGTCATATATTCAAACTTAAAAATGTTTATGGATGTTATTAGAAAGTGCTTTTTTTGCATCGTTTTATCGTTATATAAATAATTTTATCACGTTAGTTTTGATAAGAGAACCAAAAAACCGGTAGCAATCAAGATAATTGATCTTGAACTTGCTGAAGATGAAATTGAAGATATTCAACAAGAAATAAACATTCTTTCGCAATTGGATTCACAGTATGTCACTAGGTATATAATATTTATTGTAATCTCATTTACGTAGTGGTCATTTTTTTTATTTAGCTAGTGCATTAAAAAAATGTTCTATTATAATAAGATATTACGGTTCTTATCTCAAAGGCACCCATTTATGGATTATTATGGAATATTGTTCTGGAGGATCTTGTTCAGATTTAGTAAGTTTCCTATTTCTGTAATACTAACGCTAATTCCCTACGTAATAATTCTTTTTATGTATATTTACTTTATTAATAAAGATGAAGCCTGGTGCTTTAAGAGAAGAATACGTAGCAATCATATTACGGGAATTGTTAAAAGGGTTGGACTACCTTCATTCTGAACACAAACTTCATAGAGGTTTAATTTTCTCATGATCAGAAATTGCTTTAAATTTTGAGTTATGTCCTCATCAAGCTTTTTTTTTTTTATAGATATAAAAGGTTGGAAATAATTTTAAAAGCAACAACATTAGGATTTTTATTATAAAAACGAATATTATTTGATTACTGAGTTGATATCACTTTATAGCGGCAAATATTCTTTTAAGTTCTACTGGAGATGGTATAAATGGTTTTTTGCATTTAAAAATATTGATAAAAATTTCATTTAAAATTATATAACATCCGCACATTTTCTATCAAAATTTGTCTAATTCTGATTCGTAGTAAAGCTAGCAGATTTTGGAGTTTCTGGACAGGTTAGTATTATCATTCTATTCCGTTTACTTGACATTTTCTCTGACAATGTATATCTAATATACAGTAAATCTCAATCGTAGATCACAGCAACTTTGACAAAAAAGAATACTTTCGTTGGAACACCGGTAAGAATTTAGCTCATCGATAATCTTTAATAATATATTTGTGACTCATAAATATTATACGATAGTTTTGGATGGCACCTGAAGTCATTAAACAATCAGGGTATGACTTTAAGGTAAATATTGAAACTCTATTAATTATTCCATAAATTTCATAAATGCTATGATAATCTTTATTATTATTTTAGGCTGACATCTGGTCTCTGGGAATAACTGCAATCGAACTTGCAAAGGGCGAACCTCCTTACGCGGATCTTCATCCAATGAAAGTTCTTTTTCTTATTCCCAAAGATCCTCCACCTTCTTTAGAGGATAGCCTATATTCTAAACCGTTTAAAGAATTTGTCGCTTTATGCTTAGACAAAGACCCAAACAACGTACGTATCGCATTTAATATATTTATATATATTCAATTGCAGGTTGCTTGATTCTATACCCCGTATACTCTTGATAATAAAAAAAAAAAAAATAGCGGCCAGCACCAAAAGAGTTGCTTAAACATAAATTTATTAGAAGCGCCAAGAGGACTTCTTATTTGACTGAATTGATTGAACGTTACCAAAAATGGTTGGCGGATGGTGGTGACCAGCAGGATTCAGATGAATCAGATTATTCTGAAAATGGGTAAACTATTTTACTTTATTTCTGTTCTACCACTATTTAAATTTCTTAATCACGATAAAATCTTCCTTTTTTTTCTAGTAACAAGGATGTAGCAGATACAGATTGGGAATTTCCAAATTCAGGTTCTCCTACGTCATCAGATGATGAAACTTACTCTGGTGATAATTCCACAATTGGACCAGCTAAAGGAAAACAGACTATGGTGTTTGTTATATTCAAGCAAAATTAAATACAATTTTTCTATACTTTCTATTAAAAAAAATTTTTTTTTGACGAACTTGATCTCAAATCAGGTATCAAAAGTTAAGAACTCTGGCTATGACACTATAAAATATGCTAACGCGGCAAGTGTGGAATATTATGATGATGCTGAACAAAACCATGTTGAAATCTCTCCTGTGAGTGGCCCAGCGGTGTTCGATGAGGTTATTGTACCTTCAATAGAAAATGTATGCAAAATTCTTAACGCACAAAGCTCTTTTGATTGAATTTTTTCTAAAAAAAAAAAAAAAAAAATCGGTGTAAACTTATCAACTGAACTGTTATCTGTTGTTTTGCATACTAGCTGCGCCAAAATGCGCCATCCAAAAAAGCCCAGCTCACGCTTGATATCTTGAAAAAGGCTTTTGAGGACGCAGAAAGAGAAGATCCTGGTATATCTGAAAAAATTATGAATGCTGTGTTCCAAAAATATGATGAGATGACACCTTGAACTTTTTGGTAATAACATAACCAGACTATCTATGCATTAAATGAGGAAATAATTATCATTTCTTGTATAAATAATGCCTAATTTATAGACCTTTTATAACTATTATTTTTGTTTTTTTGTTTTTTTTAATACCGATTTAAACTAATTATACATGATCCAGAATTGTGATCAAATTATTTTATTTATTTTCTTGACAACTTATTTAGAATTAATAAAAAAGAACATTTCATCCATGTTTTGAAAGCTGTCTGCAAGTCATGAAACGATCGACATTTCACGTGTAAATTTTTTTTATTACAATCAACAGACCAGACCAGATCCGTATAGTACAGTCCGACAATACCAGACCCAGACTAATTAGCTAATTTGGTTTGTATCATACATACTAAATTATGTATATCACTAGAGAAAATCAGTATAACGATAGGCAGTGTTGTAAATTGGACAAAATTGAAATTAGTAAAATCCGTTACGTAGATCACGTTAGGGTGAAATCCGCATTTAGCCATGTTTTTTATTATGCAAAAACGAATTTCACCCCAATGTGATCTACGATTGAACCTAGCTGCCGCACCAAAATTTCACGGATGATCCTCGATTTTGATTGGCTATGAGCGACGATCAATAATT